TTCAGCTTCCTGCAACCTCCCTGCAATGCATCAGCCACCCAGGAGTGAATCATGAATAGTTTGCAAATAGCTAAAATGTTAGTGCTGAGGTGGTACAATGAAGTAGATGAAGAGATGCACAAAGAACCCAAGGTGCAACAACCTTGACAGTGCTGCTGGCAAGCTGGCAATACTTTCGCCCTAACAAAAGAGTAAAAATAGACTTGAGGAAGTGGTGGAGAAAAATAAAGCAAGGACGAGGTGGTCAGTGTGATAACAGTTACTGAACAGCCTGCTGTAGCAAGTTTGTGAATTGAGATGTCAGCACCAACTCTCGGTAATTTGAGACTTACTGTTTAAGTTGTCTTACTGTAAATAGTATCATTTCTATTCACAGCCAAATAAGTCAGAAGTTAGCAGATTAGCGGAAAGCTAAATTCAAGAGGAGTTTTGTCCCCAGTGGTCATCTCTGTTTCCTGTTCGTCACTTTAATGGTCCTGATGGAAATCTCCAGCACCGTTTTCTGTGTGAGTGATTAAACATCTCTAAAAGTAGAAAATTTATCAGATATAATTGATTTTATTTAATAGATTTCTACAACATCCTCAACATGTCTGTGTAATGAAAGCCGTGTCTAATTATATAATTATCTTTTTTTCTTATTTAAATTTTGTTCATATTAAAGTTTATGTCAGTCTGTCACCAGGCATCTTACTGCAGTAAAGTGATGACATAATTGCTCAGCTCAAAGCTACACGAAGGAATTCTGATGAGAGAGCGTTTTAAATTTAGTAGCTGTTGATCAAAAGAGTGACAACAACTGGGGAGGTTGCTTAATTTCAAAGCAAAAGCAATCACAGACACACACCTACACAACCACACACACAACCTGCAGATGTACTGTAGAATGAAGTGGCTAAGTAGGAAGGTTTTCAAAAACTGATGAGTCTTTTCTTAGTCAAATAAAAAATGTTAAAAAAGAAAAACAGGGGGACAAATTTACCAAAACTGGCTTAAACTGAGCATTTACCAAGTGATATGTTAATGACAAATTTCTGTCATTTGTCATTCAATCATTTCCACCTCTTATAGTAGTTTTACATTAAAGGATATTCCAAAGTGAAATGTTAGACATTCACATCACAAATCTTGCCTTACAGTGGTAGTAAATTTGGAAATGATCATTTGTGAATGGCAAAAGCAAATAGGAGAGATAAATTAAAGCAAAAGCATTATCGCATATTAGTTCAGCTCCCACTTCATATTTTCCTCTCAGGTAAATCAACTTCTTCAGTGAATTATTTCTTATCACGACAGATGTTCAGAGCCTGCAGAGATGAAAATTAACAGCTGGACATAATAAAGAAAAAAGTGTTGTCTCACTGTTAGCCTTATATGACTACACATGCAAAAATATAGTTGGTACTATTCTGGAACGTCATCTTGTAGAACTCTCATCAATTATTCTTGCAAATCCCACAGTGCAGCTAAAAGCATTCTGAAGAAAGAAATTATCCAAAAGACAGAAGAATTTTGCAGCCTTTATTTCCATCTCTTATGTTTATCTACTCGCAGCTCTGTGCACTTTGGATTTAAAACACATTGATCAGACCCCTGCAGACAAACTGTGATCTTTCTGCATAGTTTACTTTTCAGAATTGACAAAATTCTGCTGCTAGCATTTTTAAAACTAATAATTTCACACCAATAAGTAAAAAATCCAGAGGTACAAACTTTATGAGGTAGAGAACATGAGATTAAAGAGTATTGCAGTAGTCTACACGTTCAGGAGGAGATCACAGAAAGAGCATCTGGTGTAAAAACAATCTGCCAAATCAAACGTTTGGACTTACCTGCTGTGGTGGCCCCTTGTGAATAATGGAGCAGGTAAAAGTAGCTTCAGATGACAAGAATAAAGCTTTAATTGTATGAAGACACATAAAAACCAGGACCAAATTCACTAATATATTAAGTAATTAAAAGTTGTAATATAAGTATATTATTCAGTGTCACCTGACTCCAGCTCTAACTATATGCTTTATGAAAAAGAGGGTCGCTACTTGAACAATTAGGCTTAAAACTTTCCTTTTTGAGTTTTTTTCCTGTTAAAAGGAGGATTTTCCTTCCATTGTGAAAGAAAGTAAAAAGAAAACTAGAACCTCACATTGAACAAAAAAGAATACTTATAGTATCAGTGACACATGTTATTGAATACACCTGCAATTTCCAGTTAGCCTAACTGCATGACCATGGTTAAAATATCTCATGATAACACCAGCTTTTTCATTTTTGGACCAATAGGCTCTGGCTTCTGGCATTTCTGTATCATAGCTCCACAAGAAAAATAATACTGATTGTTACATTCCAGCAGGAATCGTAAGGCATGGAATAACTCATTTGAAGCCATAATAATCAAAATCCTCCCCAAAACCCAGCATAGACAGTTGTTACTTGCAAAGGCTGGAGAAAAAAATCAAACCCAGATCTTTAGGGTTTGTCAGCAGACATCGGAGTTTCTCTGAAAGCTCAGGCAGTGTAAGGACTGATATTCTGTACCTGAAATTTTTCAATGGAGGTCTTTTTTCCTTAAGGAAGACAGTGTGTTTTTTGGGCTTTGCCAGATAATTTTTTTTTAATGAATGGTGATAAATATAATCTAACGCTTGCCTCCATATTTTTTAAGGAATAAGAATGTGTTTTTAATTTGAGTTGGGTGCAACTAAAACACACATCCTCAACACATAAACAGAATAAAAAGAATGCCAAAGGCATTTATTTTTTTTTGATTGATTTAAATATAGATTTGAGCTTTATCAAAGAGAATGTGTCTGTGAGAAAGCAAATGGAGAAAAGTAAAACATTTCCTTTGTAAGCAGTCTTCGAATTCAGCACAGAAAAGGGTTGATAGAATCTTCAGTCACATACATCTTTATAACAAATAAATCAAATTGTATTTCAGCAACAAATACTGCATGATTCCCTCATCCTTGTGTTTCTGCTGGTGTGTGATTGTAATCTGCATCATAACTCTTTTCATCGGTCGTGTGTGTGTGTGTGTGTGTGTGTGTGTGTGTGTGTGTGTGTGTGTGTGTGTGTGTGTGTGTGTGTGTGTGTGTGTGTGTGTGTGTGTGGTAACGTTAGGCTTATAGTTTTTGCTCAACAGCCTTTTAATTGAATATCTGCACATAGCTGTGTACTGCAGCATGGGAAAAGAGAGGCAGGGGGTGGAAAGATGAAGGAGGAGCCTGTAGAAGAAGAAAAGAAAAAGTAATTAAGAGCAAGAGAGAAAGAAGGAGAGAAGGTCTTTGGACTGTGGGGAAAAGTAAGAGAGAGAGGGAGGGTAGAACTAGTGCTGTTAAGCCAACGCTGACTTCATGTCTCACTGTCACCTCCGGGCCCAGTGCTGTTCTGTGCTGATGCACACAGTCTTCTTTGCCCTGTAGTAAGATGTGTGTGTGTGGTGTGTGTGTGTGTGTGTGTGTGTGTGTGTGTGTTGTGTGTGTGTGTGTGTGGTGTGTGTGTGTGTGTGTGTGTGTGTGTGTGTGTGTGTGTGTGTGTGTGTGTGGTGTGTGTGCGTGTGTGTGTGTGTGTGTGTAGAGCAGTTTTTGAGAGAACAAGTTTGAGTTTTAGATAATCAGGGTGTGAATGTTTTGTGACGGTTAGGGTAAGGAGGGAGGGAAGGAATTATGTCCGTGTTGGGAGAATGTGTAGCAAAATAAAACCAGAGAGTACTGAAATTACTTTTTGTAGCAAATAACTTAATGTGGCAGTTTTGTAATTCAAGTAATCCATTGTTTAGTTTGCTTTTAATAAATGCAATTAGTTGCTAAAAAAATTGCACCTTTTCCTCGTTCCTTTTGCTGCCAGAGTTGAAGGGAAAAAATCTGTAATGCATTTACACTAATTCTATTTCCTTCTCCTTGAGAGGTACCTGTATATTTGAAGGTATCAGTCCTGCAGTTGTATAAGTGTGCGTGTTGATTTCTGCTTCAGGAGGAGAATGACGTCAGGTCTACAGGTTCAAAACATCAAGACCTACTTTTTGATTTGTCTAACTCTGACTGTGATTCCAGGGGAAATTCAAAAGCTTTTTGCAGGTTACTTGTGGAGGAGATGACATGAATATCAACTGAGATAAAATCAGTTCATTCAAAGTTAGATGTACAGAAAGCCTGCCTGTTGATTCTTTTCATCTGGATGCAGCATTTCCCACTGAAGATTCTGCGTCCAGATGAAAATAATCAGCTTTCTGGGATTTCTTTACCTGGGTGATCAAGGATGCATCAAGACATTTCAACAAGTTACTTTTCTCAGGAGGTAACACTGTAACCACAGATTTTATATATGTATAGTAGAATAACTCAAAAGAATAAAAACAATAGGATAATACAAACTACAGTAGAAGTATAGTGGCATGAGGTTGGAAAGATTGGCTGTTTCCATCCATGCAGAGCCTGGTCTGCATTATCCAAGATAAATAACAGTTTGTTTAGTGACCTCCGCCCCACCAGAGCCACAGTCATTTGTATGCTTGTTTGCAGACTTCCTATAGTGGAGTAAGAGAAGTTTAGGTCATTGCATTGGTTGCTCCATGCACCAACTGTGATGTCCTCATAGCCCTGCAACCATTTATTCTTACACTTGAAGCACACCAAACTTGCTGCAGTATTCTCCTTAATAAGATGTCACCACTGCGTCAGTACACCACTAGAAGAAGTTAAAACAGGAAGCAAAGGGATCAATTAGTTTTTTCTCAAGAAAATCTCACTTTTAAAGCTGCAGCATTTCCCTCTCCATAATCTGAGAACGTCTCCTGATACAGCAGTGGTCAAAAGTTTATTTAAATTCATCATGGGAATGACTGTCATGGTAATTATGGGCCGTTATTGATTTCTTTGAACTGTTGTTTTTCCAGGATGTAATGATTGTACAGCATACGTATTTAACCCTCTTAAGGCAGGCGTTGCAGATTTGCAACAGTTAAAAACTAACAACCTGATTACCCCACATACATATTTTATGAGTTTTTTTTTACTCAGAAGTACCACTGCAGGTGTTCTTTTGTGCATTAGCAACAAAAACTTAATTTGAGCCTGAGAGGGTTAATGACTTTTACAAAACAAGAATTGGGACCATAATCTTGAATTCATTTTAGATTTTCCTCAAATCAACACGGTCAAAATTAAACACACAAGGTCAAATATATGCATTTACTCCCACTAATATTAATCAATCTATGTATGTATTAATGTATTAAATAATACTTATTAACTATCCTTTAATAAGTTGCAGTTCAACTACACTTTTATTAGGCATCAACAAGCTTCTGGCATAATTCTGGGGGAAAATTTGACGACTCCTCTTGGCAGAATTCATTGAAGTTGGTTGGTTTCCTGGCACAGAGCTGGCTTTTAAGCATAGTCCACACACAGTCAAGCATGATGGTACCACCGCCATGCTTGACAGTTGGTACAGTGTTCCTAGGTCTGAAAGCTTCACTGTTATTCCTCCAAACAAAGCTCTTGTCACTGTGGGCAAATAGCTCAGTCTTTGTCTCATCTGACCATAAAACTTTTAAACAGAAGGTATTTAGAATTTAGTTTGTCCATGTGGGCAACTGCAAAATTCAGCTGAGGCTGAAGATTCTAATTTTGGAGCAGAGGCTTCTTTCTTGGTCAGTCGATGGCCATGCAAAACTTACTTCACTGTGGACAATGACACTGGTGTTCCAGCAGTTTCCAGTTCATGGAAGTCTTGAGCCTTGGTGGTTCCTGGCTTGTTCCTGAACATCCTAGGCAGTTTGCTGTCATATAAGTGTGACAGTTTTGCTCTTCTTCCAGACCTTGGAAAAGTGATGACCAGTTTGAATAACTTGTATTTATGTACTTTTTAAACAGATGATTCTACAATCTTACTGGTTATGGAAGGAATTTGTCAAAGCCCTGACCTCAGTGCAGGGAAACCACACAAGTTAAACGAACTCTACCAATTCTGACAAAATCAGTAATCGAATGTCCAGCCAGAATTATACCAGACGCTTGCTGATGGTTATCAAAAGCTGTAATAAAACTTGCTAAGGACATCTAGCCAGTAATTAGAGGGTTTTCATGTATACTTTTGACCCTGTGTGTTTGAGAGAAAACACAAAATAAATTCAAGCAAAATTTTCCCATAGACATCACATCTTTATGTATGCATATATTTAACCTGGCCATGGCTGTGACATTGATGAAACTCATAGCCAAATAAAAGAGGCAACACAGTTGGTCTTAGCTGTGTATTACACACAAAAAACGCATCACATTTAAACATGTGTAGGCGGTTGTGACAAAGCCAGCAATATGTTCATGTTGTCGTGCAGGTTTAACATATGTTTGTGCTCAGGAGTTGTGTATTTGCACGTGTCTCTTTGGGAAATAGCAAATCCAAAAATGTCTTGTTGGTGCTTACACCTCTTTGTGAACGATTTTAGCAACTTCATAAGGATCCTGCTATCTTTGCACGTTTGAGGAGGGCTGTGTGTTTAATGTCACAGGATGAATGAGAATGCAGTCATTTTAATTTTGCCATCTGTTTGCCTAAAGATCAATTGACTTTAGTGAAAATTTCATGCCATGCATTGAACAAACAATTCTTTCCTTGGCTCAGAGACCAAGAGTCCTGGAAAAAGAACACATAAAGCCAAGTTATCCACACACCTCATATAACTCAACTTGGTATTTTGACATCTTTGGGTTTATTATTAAAGCACCAAGTAAGGTCCATGTTGTAGAGCTGAACTGATTGCACCCATGATGTTCACCCATCAGTCGAAGATTGCTCTTTCTCTTGCTGGAAGATTGCTTGCCACAAGGATGTACCTTAGGATTGACTTGGCATCATTGGATTTGATAGTCACCTTTTCAAATCTTTCCACATCCTCTGGCACAGCAGCAGTTGGCGAGCGCTGATGATTCACAAATGACTTCGCAATAACTGGAAAGCAGAAAACAAGAGCTGCAGAGATGTGATTACGTGGGAAGTCAGTGCAGGTGGCAGTATTTTAAAGGTTAAAAATGTGGGCTTTTATTTGGAAATGCTCTGATTTGAATCTGCAAATCAGCAAGGAGGAATATGAGATTGAGGGCGAAATGATGAGAAGCCTGTGACTGCTGTTGATGTGCTCCTGCAGATTTCAACCTAAAACAAAAAACTGGCACAGAAATGCAGAGATTTGCGGGCGGGCGCTACAGATTGAAAAAGGCAAATGACATGGCGTAAATAACAGGAGTGCTCTAATCATTTTTAGAGTTGATTATTTTGACTGAATAAATGTCACAGCTGATGTGATACTGATGGCCATTTCTGTAATTTTATCCAAAAACAAAAAAAATCCAAAAGGTCCAATTATTTCTGAATTTTTCTTATAAATTGAATTTATTGGGAAGCTGCAGTTAATTACATCTCCTGATAAAACATTCCTTCAAAGGTCAGCGACAGCATCCTTCTTTTAAATTATACTGACATGACATCGACATCACTTTAGACCATCAGGCTTTCTTTAATGCAGACCCACAGCTGTTGAATATTGATCCAAGCTGCAATCTCTGGGGCTAAAGAAATGAAGCCAGTGTTGAGGTGAGTGAGTCACCATAAAGCCCCATGTTAAACTCAAAATTTTGAAAAACACATAAATGTGTTACCTGCGTGGTACGAGAAATAGCTTTTATTTATTTATTTATTTATTTATTTTTGTAGCTTACCAGTTAAAGTTTGCTATATCGAGGGTATGACTGACACACAGCTGTAGCTGAAGCTTGTTCTCTTGAAGTAGAAATATTCCTCAAGGTCACTTCTGGAACACTTGCGTTGGTTGTTTTAAATCAAAGACCAATATGGTTATTTTGTTGGACGTCTAGTTCTATCTTGGATATTTCACACGATAATCAATAAACTTGACTTGAGGGAACATCATCTGTACCAAATGTCTCGGTTTACTTAGCAGTTGGACTAAACTGAAGGACTTTCAAGCTGTCCTGACCATCTCTAGAGAAACTTTTAACATGACTAAATAAAGTTCTTCCAGCATTTGTTGTCATTTGGAAAACTTGTAGCCTGCACAGGCTCCCATCATATGCTTGGCATTAGAACAAAATGGCCTGCCTGGATACATCAAAGGCTCCAAATGTAGCCAGCGACATCATTTTGAGTCCCTGTGCTGTAAATGCCAATGTGGAGGGAAATGTGTAGCCGTGACTTATAATGTAGTCAAAACTCTGAATGGAAAATATTTCTTTGGTTCAAGCTATTTTTGATCTTCTTTCTGATCATTTTTAAAACATTTATTCAAGTAATATTGAATGCTATCCAATTCAAAGTGCTGCCAAACTGATCGGGGATATTACACAGTATTACTCAGACAAAGGTTAAAAAGTACGAAAAATGGCTGTGTACACATGACAGTCTGTTCCAGTCTGGCATACTCCAAACCTCATTGTCACCATGCTTTGGCATTAGACTCAGTAAGGTGGCACTGTGCACATGTTCAGTTCTGTCCTCCTTGCTCAACCATCCATCATCCCGTCACAGAATACAAGACTTTCTCAGTAGCGCTCCTTACAATGCAACACCCAGCCCCCCTCCCAGTTCTCCATTTTCTCCTCCAGCCCTTCAGGAGTCTGGCTGTCACAGCATGTTTCCTGTTACAACTCTTCTGATTCCTTCCTCTCCTGTCAGCCCAAACCTCCCGTTATCTATCCATCTGAAACACGAGCCGGTGTCTGCTCTGCAGCAGTTCAACTGGAATTGGAGCTGGTTGCACTTGGTCAAGTTCAGACTGACAGGAAAGTGGTGGGAAGGTCTGGTATACATGGCGGTATGAGATGAACTCATTTGACTTCAGAAAGAACTGGTTGCATAAGAGTTGGGCTCTGAATACTTTGTCTATTATCACGACTAAAACATATTTCCATGTCAGTGTTTTGTTCCAAATCGTCTGTCAAGCAAAAGTTAAAAAAAATCATCATTATACGTTTCTGCTTTGGCAACCGTAGTAATGAAATGAGTCAACGTGACTTTGTTCTTGAGTGGCAGACGGCAAACAGAGTTACAAAGAGCAAGAAACTGCAGGAATCCCGCACCAAGGCATATTCAAGGTCTCTATTAAAATGCAGTCATCTTCTGTTATGTCACTTTATATACACAAGAAAAGCCAGTTCACTTATGCTGGTCTTAATGTTATAAAATTATCAGTGCAAAGAAGCAGACACCCTGCAGGTCTATCTGCACAATCAGGAAGACATACATTCAAATCTACGTTTAGGAATCAAATTAACAAAATACTAAACTTTGAATGTAGTCATAATGTAACAGTTAATTGAATTTCGGGCGGTCAGATTGAGCACGTTCTTTTATTACTATGAATTTCTATTTGAGTGCTTTAACGATATTCATAGTGTCCCTTTACATTGAAACACTCATGAATAACTTAACAATATTAGGGTTACACTATAAGGGCATAAGGTTTAATTACTCAGTCTTTGTTTCTACTACGATACTGAGGAGCCTTAGTTATCATTGCTTAGGAGAAAACGGTTTGCAAATGGAGCAGTAATGTCAGAAGGGCTTTTCCATCCACAGGAGCCTTAATCTCAGGGATGGGATAGTTTCTGAGTTTTGACCTTAAAGAAATATTTCTGAGGGAAAATACTAACTTATTTCTTAGATAAGAAGATGAGCCTTCTCTCATGTCATGTGAAGCTTCTGTCAGCACCCTGGTCACTTAGCATATTGACTGAAAATAGGGAAAATGCTAGTGTGGCTCTGTCCAATGATAGCATGCAATCTCTTTAAAGAAAAAGAAGGAAAAGAGGAAAAACATGTTGCAGCTTTGCAGGTGTTTATTCTTCCACTGAGGGCTCCATGCAAGTTGACTTCAAATTTGAAAATAATTTCTGGGAAATCAGCAAAAGGAAAATTTGTTTTTAAATGTGTCATTATGTACTATTATGTGAATACCATGAGCTGGTGCATTGAGATAAACAGCTGGTGACACTGATTGTTCAGTCAGGTGCCATTAAATCTGTGCTTAAAAGGGCACAGCCATATAATATAAGAGAGGGGCAGATAAATGGCAAATTAGATGAATAATTACATTGTAAACAACATTAAAAACATGTTTCTAAAACACCAGTTTCAAAATGTTGGGGCAGTATGTAAAATGTAAATGAAAAAAATATATAATGACTTGCAAATTTTAGAAATCCACATTTTGGTCACAATAGAGCAGAGAAAACATTGAATGTTTTCTCTGCTCTATTGTCCCGTTTTAAGAAAAATATTAGATTATTCTGAATTTACTTTTCTGCAATAGCTCTCTGTGTTTCCCATCAATTCCATGTTTCCCACTGTGTAACATCCACTCTTCTTTTAACAACAATTTATATATACATTCTGGATTTATCTGTGAATTTATAAGAGCAATGTTGCCCACTGTTGTCAGATCCTTTGTTTATTGTCCCTGTAACAGTCCTGTGTCTTCTTTGTTAAATGTCTACAGTTGGTGAAACGTCTGGACTCAAGGCCGGACAGTTCAGCACCTGGACTTTTCTGATACAGTGATGTGGTCTTTAGCATTGTCTTGCAATGTGGAATCCCTTTTAAAGCATATGTTGCTCTAAAACAAACCTTTCCGCATTGACTACAATCTCATAGGCACTACTGTACTCTCACACCATCAAAGATGGGAGCTTTTGAACTCCTCTTTAATCCAGAGGATGCACATTCAGTGTTTTAGAAAAATAATTTAAATTCATCTGACCACAGAACAGCTTTCCACTTTGCATCAGTCCATTTTCAGCGAGCTTATAGATGCTTGCAAACAGCCGAAGTTGGGTTAGCAGCATAATGCTGTTGTTACTGTCCTGGATGCAGTTTGCACTTTACCATCGTACTCTCTTCCTTTTATGCAATAAAAATAAAATTAATATTAGATGCTCATATCCACACTTACAGCTCTACTATTTTCCTCCCCCAGCACAAAAACTGAAATCAGCTGATTGCAGCATGAATTCGAGTGGAACTGATGAGCAGAATCAATGGGCAAGCAGACCCACAATTCCAGGGAAATGAACGCTTACCCGATTCCCATCCCTAGTGACAGAGCTTAAACCTGCATTTGTGGATGGCATAGTGAGCGTTGACACAATGATTTCTGGGAGTTTTCCTGAGCCTATGTAGTGATTTCCATGCAGAGTCGTTGCTGTTTTTACTGATTTTTGTGAGATTCTCCATATTTTGGGAATCTTTTGATGATTTATCATGTGCTGTAGATAGTGAAATATTCAAATTATTTATAATTTTATGCTGAGGAACATTATTCCTAAATTGTTCCACAGTTTGGTGGATCTCTGTCTTTTACACTTGGTATACACCTAATGTTACTGACCTGTTGCCGTTTAATTTAATTAGTTACAAAATGTTCCTCGAGTTGTTTCTTTTTAATGTCACATAATTTTTGAGGTCTTCCATTAGTGCACATTAGGACAAGGTGTTAAAATTGAGGCGATGCAATTAATACACTTTATACTTGTGGATTTTTAATACTTAGAGTTGTCTCCAATTTATTAAACTCAGTTTCTGTCATCATCAAGACATTACTGCCACGCTAACAAATTTCCATGGGGTAGGGAATTTGAATTTTTTTCTGCTCATTGACTCGAGACCAATGTCCATACATCCATTTTCGTCACTGCTTATCCAGTTCAGGGTCACGGGGAGCTGGAGCGTATCCCATGACCCCGAGAAAGGTCACCAGAAGCTAATGTTTCCACCTGATTTTAACATCTTCTTTGGCTGATGATAATGTACAGACAATCCAGCTTGGTCAGGGATTAATCTAAGGACTAATGACTGACCTACCAGCATGATGGTCGGGACTCATGTCAAGTATTTGAACCACAGAGGAGTTACAGTATCTTTCCTGTTTCCCATTCCTCATTCTAAGCTAAACATCTTCTGTTAGTAACCTTCTATGTATAAGAAATAGTTTTTCTCATTTAACTATCAGCAAAAAAGTGAATTTTTATTCTTTTAATTTTTCTTTGTAGTAATTGTTACGCCTTGGGCATTTTATCAAAGAACCAGATACTTTCTCGCACAGCTGTTTATCACCTATATTTCTGATTCATCTCAGATGGCCCATGTTTCAAAAATGAACACCCCCCACTGAATCCTGGGGCTCATTTTACAACAGTAATTCGTGAGCAATGCTGACATGCAGGAACAGGGAAAGTGTAAAGATTAACACAAGGAGGAAAATATCTCATATCGCTGAAGTTTGTTTTTAAAAAAAGGTGAAAGAAATCTGTTTCACTTTTAAGAACTTCATGAGCCACTTTAGAAACAACAACCTCAAACTATCTTGCGTAGCTACAGGCCAAACAGTATGAACACAATCTGATTAATGCTTTTTGGGACACATTGACTTCCTGACTTGCTTACATATGGATTACTCGGGTATGATTTTGCACATTTACCAGAGTTGTAAAAGCTTCCAATTTAAATGTTGGTTTTAAGCAGATTTGACACAGAAAATGAAAGGTAATGGGAAAAATGTGCACAAGAGAAGGCCGTGGAGATCCATGCAGCATAAGAAAAAGAAGAAGCAATGGATGAAAGGAGAGTACAGAGCGAACAGGAGGAGGAGAAAAGGAAAAGATTACTACCATAGTACATCAGGCTTAGCTTCACATCCTTAATGGTAACTATGGAAATAATTATAGAGCAGACAGACAGACTGCTAGAGAGAGTGTGAGCTTCAGAGAAAGAGAAGGAGAAAGGGAGGGCAAAAGACAACGGGAGAGGAGAAGAAAAGGAGAACTATGGGGGGTAAAGTAGCTGAAAATGTTTGCTGGAATCCCTAAACTGTGTCTCTAATGATTGGTGATTGCTTAAAGATCAGATGCACAGGGATGACGTGTAGGTTAAACCCTCACAAAGCCAGTTTAACCGCCTTCTTACAGCAGCTGCAGAATATGCTGTGACATCTTTTATGCCTTATGTTAATCTTTCCTTTGATATGAAACTGCAAGATATCTTAGGTGGGGGGGAAAAGCATCAACAGCATGGAGGTCATATTATTTTTATCCACCGTTATATCTTACCAGCGATAAGGGGGCTCTAGCGTGGTGAGTACAGCAATAGTACAGTGTCATAATAAAACGGTGCTTTAAAAAGTTGTTTCAAACGCACAGTTGTCATGGAAACAGATCTAAGATACTCTTTCCCCCTCTGAAAGTGCTCATTGCTTATCATTACTGAAAGCCCAATCAATGGAGATGTCATTAACAGTGAAATAAAAAAAGTACTTAATGTCGCCTACATCAAAGTCAGATACATTGAGAAGTAAATTAAAGCTCCTGATGGATTTAGATAATTGGATGGATGACTTTGTTTATGCACTTATAAAAAGCAGCATGCTGTTGGAAATCAGCAGGGGTCAAGTGTGGCTTGGATAGAGAAATTAGCTGTGCAGTTTTTAATTTTGATTGGTCATGATTTGCCCGTGGGTGTGTGACAGCATGCATGGGCAGTTGGTACAGGACTGGTGGTTATACAGTATATTATGTGAGTGATAATATTGCATGCTTCCCACACAGTTGCCCCTGGCATGTACGTGTGTGTGTGTCTGTGTGTGTGTGTGTTAGCGGAAGGTGAAAGGTAAACAGAATAGACCGAGAGAGGAAAGGAAGATAGGAAGAAAGAGGGGAGTGTGGAAGCGAGAGAAACCACTCCAGGTCCCAGTCGGGAACCAAGCAGCCCCACCCCTTCTAAACATCTCTCTTCCTATTTCTCTCTCTCTCTTTTATTCTCCTTGCTGCTGGAAACAGAGAGAGGCAGCGAGAGAGGGAGAGACTGAAGCGCAGGGCATCAGAGCACTGCTGCTCCCTGCCTAAACTGAGCTGCTGTCCACCTGTGCGGGATAATCTCCGTCCAACCAGCAGCCAGGAGACACTACAACATCCACCGTTTGCCAGGCAGATTACTTGAGGGTGAACCGCCGTTTGGTGGAGGAATACGAGGGACTAAGTTGCCATTACAGCCTCGTTTTTTTGTTTTGTTTTTTTCCGCGTGCTGCTTGTCAGCTCCTGCCAAACGTTCAGTTTGTAGGCACTGCAGCTTTTAGACTACTTTATTCAGTGGCGCTTAGCTGTTTCTTGGCCACTCTCTCTCTTTTCTTTCCATAACGGTCTGTGTTTTTGGTGATTGTCCACACATTTCCGCCTGCATTTGGAAACTAAAGCTTCCGTTTGAATTCTTTCTGCTTGCTCGCTGGCTCAATGTTGGAGTTGTCCGATGAGAGCGAAGCGCCTTCGCTAAGCTTGCACATATAGAAAGGCGGACCTATTGCGCGCCGCACCGCTCCTTCACGCGCACATGGGCTCAGACGCGCACGCTCGCACGCACGTGCACACACGGCTGCAACTCCAGACATGCAGCTGGTTCCCCTGTGTGTGCACACCTTAGCTTCTGAGTGCCGTTAAACTCCAGAGCTTAGCACAGATAAGCGTTTAGCTTTCACCCATCCATCCTTGCCAAGTTCTTTCTGATATGCACAAGGGGGACACCCACTAAAGGAAACCATCGCAGAAACCATCTAAAAGATGAGAGAAATTGGCCTCAGCGGATTTCCCGTCGGTCACCGGATTTGTGAGTGCAGGGTCGGGGCGGAGGGCACCGGGGAGAGAGGACAGGGAGAGGCCGGGGAGGAGGAGCTCTCATCCGGACTGCCCGCCGCGGAACAGCCGCTGCTGCCGTGCTCAAGAAGCAGGCTGCTGCTGCCAGGGGGAGGCGGGGGGAGGATGAAGAGTGCCTCAGTCTGAAATTATAACACTCAGCTGGCTTTGGGAGTGTTTGTTTTCTTGCATTTTACCTCTCACTAATTAGTCTGAAGATGCGAGATAACGAACAGTGGCCTACTTAATAACTGTCATCCGTTCTCTCACCGGTGTGGCACTTTTGGGTCAGCTTAAAGGTAAATTCAGCACTTTGGTGAAGTGAAGGCCTGCAGTTGTGAATTTACCTGTGCAGTGGCTTTTGAAAGGACATCCTCCCACTTTACTAATTTCAACTTTGTGATTTTCTTTTCGTATTAGTTTAAGGTGTTTGTAGTAATATAAGTCAGACCTATACAGAATATCCTATTATCATTATAAAGGGACGTCTAGTGTGTCTGTGATACTCAGTAGTGGGTTTATAGTCGCTATATTGGACTTAATGGTCATTTCTATCTCTTCAATATTACTAGGATACAGTATTTCTTTAGAATAGCCAATATAAATACATAGTTTATAATTTTCTGTGATAATTAAATAGTATTGTATTTATATTTATTACAAGATCACTAAAATTCCTTTTGTACTCCCATATATGTAGATACCTTGAAGGAGCCCTGTTTCCAGGTGCCTTGATAGTGGAGGTTGGCAATTCATCATTTACTAACCTACCGAACTGTCTGAATTATCAGAAGTCATGATATGATTTAAAGCCAACATGGTAGTGTTTTTGCTGTATTGGGCTTTTGTAGTGCAATTTCAAGTTCTCTTGCTTCGTTTTAGTTCGAGTCCTCTTGATTCCTTTTTTCCTAGGCTGATTTGAGCACTGACTTTTTTAGCAATACTCCTCTGTCTGGAACTCGACCACAGCCTTATAAACCCACCAGAAGATGGTCACCTGCTTATCAAACAGTATGACAAGCACATGTGTGTCCTAACACTCAGTGGCAGATGCTGTTTGCAGATACACCAACACGCTCAGTTATTTATAGACATTAATATCACTGTGTGCTTTTGGAGTATCAGTTCAGAACAAGTGCCGATGCTCGACGGAATGTAACCCAATCTACGGAGCTTCAGAAGTTTCAGTCAGACGCAGAGACTTGGAGGAATACAGGCTGAACTCATCTTTAATAGCAGCTGGCAGCAGCTGACTGTGGGGGTCACAGACTGTACACTGGAAGTGCAGAGACACTGTCTTTAGAAGTTTGGACACAAAGCACAAGAGCCCCACCTGATCTAGGTAGGACATCTTTTTGTTTCATATTTGTTGCACTAAAACCTCTGCATATGCACATCCAGCTCATTATAACATCTGATGCAGGTGTACAATTTGAATTTTAAAATAGTCCTCTCTGCAGAAATACATCACTATGGCCGAACTGCAGTTTTGAAATTATAAGCTTGATTACGGCACTGATCTGAGCTTTTTTCGGAGACGGTGTTTCAGTTTTACCAGTTCAAAGTGTCTAATTTTGGAAATAATTTTGTGAAATTACTTAATGAAAATGCATAAAAAGCTGTTTCCAAGTGTGCTGTAAATGCACTCCTAATCTTCACCCTATTTGCACTCATCTCTTGTACAATGACATCACTTTCGTCTGTGTGTTTCTGCTGGTTTGTCGTCATGCTCAAGAGCACAAATAGTCCACCACTTCCCATCTGCTGTTGTCTCACATGCAGTGCAATAATACAGCAAAAACCCAGCATAAAACAGTGTTTGTGTTGCTCAATTTAATGCTAAAAGTTCATATTTCTTAGGTTTAATTAACTCTTTATTCCAATTAAAACAATTTGCTTGATGGGAGAGGGCTGTTTGGGTTATGGGGTTTAAAGGTTTGATGGCTCCTGATGTTCTTTTATTGCTCTGTGGGGAAAATTGCATGTGAAGTAAATAATGTACTGTGACAAGCATTGTCCTGGTAAATCAGATCAGGCCGTACTCTCTTCCCTTTGGTCTAAAAATCAAATATTTCCCACAAGAAACACAAGCTGGATCCAAAATTAGACCTTTCATTTCTTTGTGTTAAAGCTGCAGTAGGTGTGTTTGCAGAGAATAAGAAAGACAATCGCCCACCCCTCTTTCTACTTCCCACAGACACGAAGGCAAAAGCAATCGGTAGGCAGCTGAGTGACAGCTCTGAATGAAGCTCTCCTGCTCAAAAGTTTACCTCAGATTCCCAAAACACAGCATTAACAGTGACGGCAAATAGGAGAGAAATAGCACTATCAATAAAACCAGGACTCTGACATTATATTACTCATTTCTTTTAACCCTGCGGGGGAATTGCATTTGCCTGATTCAAACAAAATGTCAACTTATAAAAATCTGCCTATGATAGTTTTAGATAATGGGAGCACATAAAATAAAATATCTTGAGCTGAAGCATTAGAAAGAGCAACGGTAGAAACAAAACCAAGTATTATATTAGTGGTTTGTGGATTGTGAAACTCGTTTTACCTAGCAAATCAGCTTTGAGAGTACAAAGGACTGTCCAGAATTTTGGTTAACTGCCAGCTTGGCTCATACTGTTCATGTAGAGTAGAGAAACTTGTGATCAGCAGTGAAAATGTGTCATTATTCAGTTGTTGGCTGGTGCTTCTTTCCCATTCTGTGTTATTTTTTTCAGATTTGGTTACAATGACTGATCCATGAAAGGCCCATTATTTAACAGCACATCTGAGTTTTTGGTTTTCAGATTTCAGCTGCTGTGTAATGTTCACATTATTTCTGTATGAATTAGTTTATTTCTATTTTAGACTTGTGCAGGGTTTTGCATCCAGACTTTTGTACGACTGTATATAAAGGATGAACATATCACACTGCAAGTGGTTTCTAGACCACTGGATTAAGTGGGTGGAGTGCTAAGTTATAAGTTATATTAACATAAGCAGTATGGGTTCAATGCAAAGATACACATAACTGCTAATTAGCACTCGATTAGGGAGACCAATAAAAAAACAGAATTTAACAATTCAAAACTGAAGCACAAGCTTCTTTGCAGGCATCTCATGTCATTTTCCACATAATTCTATTAAAGTGCTCTACAAGGCAACAACACCAGGAATACAGAGAAGTCCAGTTCAGTGACTCTCATTGGTGGAGCTGACACCAACAGGGTATAACTGTCTGTGTCAGGATAGCTGTCAAACCAGTATCCACCCCCACTCGTTTCAGAGTTGGTCTGCAGGGAAAAATCTAAAGAGGCCCAAAGAGTTTTGTGTAGCAGGCTGTAAACATGCTTTTTAATGTAAGGTTGGGGATTTTGATTCATCTTTATATGAAGTTTTGTATTGATTGATTGAATACCTATTAGATTAAAGAGGTAATGATATTACTTTGCATCCGTAAACTTATAGGACTTGTGATGAACACATTTAGTAAGCAATGCTGCAATAGTGACAAAGAAATGAGAAATGAATTATGCAACGTTCTCACCATAGGCTGTGTTTTTGTACAAGACTACAAGAAGTTATGTGATGTTTGCCTTATCATGCCATCTCACACTTTTGAAACTGGGCGTTATGAATGAGGGGCAGATTTGACCAAGAACCAAATGGCACTATGTACACTAGGGCCAAGCAGATGGGTGGATGTTCTGCAAAGGATGATTTTGTTGTATGCTTGTTCTTTTGTTTTGATAATTTAAGGGTCTGCCTACTTACGAATTTAAGTTGGTTTGTCATGAGTCAATGGTGCAGGTCAAAGTCAGTTCAAAAATCATATTTAAGAAGCAGAATAAATATTGTATGTAGAGTTTGTAATCGTCATCTGGGACTATCTAAAGGTCAGAGCCAGTGAAACCTGGAACTTTATGGTTGTTAAGTACAGAGGATGTAACTAAACCAACTTGATTTTTGTGTGCAACAGCTTTATGGGATAACAAGCTATCCCAGAGCCCATGCTTCTTTTGCTGCATGTTGCTAGCTCTTCTCCAACACCAACTCACAGGATGTGCACCCTGAAGCAGGGTATACATGTATGCATTGCTTCAATCGTCAAGGCTTCACTGCCTTGTTTGGAGGGATGGCTTTGCTGCAATTATCGTCATAGCAACAACATATAAGATATACTATATGTTATCCTTACTTGTTTGTTCAGTTAAATGCTATAAGTGGTGTCAACCGTCATCAGATTACCTAAATTAGGTCCCTTAAAAACGTTTTGCTCTGAGCGAGTGTGTGCGGAGTCTGTCTGCATAAACTGTTTACACAAAGTTTTCAATATCTCCCAAAAATGAATTTGCCTATATAGCAGCAAATTGGTAATCACTTCCTAAAGCAGAGAGTTGCTTATCATCTCTTTTATTGTAAGTGGGACTGTAATGTAGAGAATACATTAATGCTGCACTGAATAAGATTTGAAACGAGTGACTGGAGAAAAAAAACTCTTCAGTTTTTCTTCCTTTCTTTCTTTTTTTTAGCAAGGTTATAAATCAAGAAGTAGACACAGTGTGCTGGACATTTGGATTAATGCAGGTTTCAGGGCACTTCTTTATGGCCTATATGTTAAAGACTAGAGGCTTCTAGTTATATGTATCTTCATCTGTATGTATTTTTTTTTTTTTTTAAAAACTAAAACCCCAAAAGTGTCAATAATATGCAGGAAAATAAATGATACTTTCAAATTAAATGTATATATTAATGTGGTGCAACTACAGTCATGGAATAATGTGTTTTTGCTGCAAAGTTGGAATAACAGGAGACTTTTCTTCTCTTTCTATTCTGCTAATACTGCCTAAAAGCAGCGTTACACCCCTCCCTTCTTATAAATGCCAACATCTTTCAGACTCTACTTCTGTTTATGACACAAGTGCTCTGATAAATAGAAGTTAAGCCCAACATTAATAAAATTCTGAGCTGAGCCACAGAGGTCAAGTGTTTTCATAAACTGAGTACTCCTTGTGACAAGCGAGCTGCATTTAATTTTTAGAATTGTCCCTGTTATTTGTCAAAACTGTCCTCCCAAAATGAGAGATGAGACCGTCAGCCAATTCAGCAACTGCAGAGACGTTACTTACAGTATGCTTATGTAACAAAGTCCTTTATTGGCCATATAATTATGAGCGATTTTGGTTACAAATGAGAGGTAATTATGGAAGCCTGTTTCTGCCACAAAAAAAAAGGATCCACAACTCAAAATTTTGAGTTATTTTCTCAAAATTTCAACTTATTAACTCAAAATTTCGACTTACTTTTCTCAAAAGTTTGAGTTAATAAGTTGAAATTTCGAGTTAGCACTGCCAATCAGTAATCTACGTGGATGACATCATTTCCTTGTTACCGGGAAGCTGAAACCCTCAGGTACAAATGCTACAGCTAAGCTACCGGTATTACATCCAGTCATGAATGCACAGGTTGCTGATTATTTTCAGCGTGGCTTCAAAAATGATGAAATCCTTGTGTTGTTAGCTGAATCACATTCAGGCGTTACTATCGGCAAACGTACTCGCGAAAGCCCCAATTTGTTGCGATCTGGTTTTGAGTGTGCATTCCTCTGCGCCGTTTGCTTCCAGGTAACAAGAAAGTGACCTTATTCATGTAGATTACTGATTGGCAGAGCTAATCTTGAGTTATTAACTCGAAATTTCGAGTTATGGATACTTATTTATTTATTTTTATTTTTTTGTGGCGGAAACGGGCTTCCGTAGGTAATAGTGTTTTGGTATAGTCGTGGCAAAAAGTCTGAATAGATGGCTCAACTTATCACATGCATCTAAATTTAATGGCCAATGCAATGTTTTGCATATGTTTTGCCTAATTATTGATAGTGCAAGATAGTTAGCTTTTGGATTAACTCTAGTCCTAGACTATAAACATTTTTCATTTTTCAAGCCAACTCATTTCATTTTCAGGAAACTTGATTTAAGCTCCTAAACATGAAATGTGCCCTGCTGATCCTGTCACTGTTGTGAGGTATATTAAGTAAGGAGATGTTTGCCTAAACCTAAGCAAAAGAAAATTTTAAGAACACCAGAAAAGTCTTAAACTCTTGGCTTACAGTTGGATGTTAATGTGATTATACACACTCATCTGCAGATTTTTATTAGTCATCATTCTCCCTCATCTGGAGCAGTACGCTCCATGTGCTTAAAATGTGCTTAGAATGTGTTCTGACCAAGTATGAGATGATTAAGTCCAACAAGAATAAATCCCTTACTGAAGGAAGTCTTGCAGTTTGACTGCTATTTGATCCAGGCAGATATTTGAAGGCCCATTTTTTCAGTGATTAGGGAGAGAGAC